GTGCAGGAGGCAGCCAATCAGTGATTCTCTCCCGCTCCCTTCCTCTCCAAAATCAATGAGTATTTTTTTAAAAAGGAAATAGCTGCTCCTTCCGCATCCCAGGCTGCAGCAGAGCATTCTGCGTGGAGCTCCCGTGGCCCTCAGCACGGTGAGGCACATCCACTGAGCCAAACCGGTTTCGGCAATGAGTATTTTTTTTAAAAGGAAATAGCCGCTCCTCCCGCATCCCAGAGCCGCTGCGGCTGCAGCAGAGCTCTGCGTGGAGCTCCGTGAACCCTCAGCACGGTGAGGCGTCCCCGGGGGGAAGGCCAGTGGCAGCCTGGCCCCAGTGTTGTACCGTGTGTTCACACAGTGTGTGCGAGCTCTGTGAAGTCTTCATACCCAAAGCCAACTGTGCACTGGCCTTTTTGTTTTGTTTGTTTCAGTCCCCGGGGGGAAGGCCAGTGGCAGCCTGGCCCCAGTGTTGTACCGTGTGTTCACATAGTGTGTGCGAGCTCTGAAGTCTTCACACGGAAAGCCAACGGTGCACTGGCCTTTTGTTGTTTTTTTATTGATTTTAGAGAGAGGAAGGGGCAGAGAGAAACATTGATCAGTGTGGGAGGCACCCCAACCGGAAACCGAGCTGCAACCTTCTGGTGTACGGGCAGTGCTCCAACCACCCAGGCAGGGCGCGCACTGGCTGTGTATCTTCTCACTGGAGGTCTGAGTATCTGGAATGGTTTATCTTGGACCTGTTGGCCTGGCTTTTCGTGTTTCTTTGTTTTATAAATGTATTTGTTTATTGTTAATCCTCACCCATGGCATGGTTTATCTTGGACCTGTTGGCCTGGCTTTTCTTGTTGTTTCTTTGTTTTTGTTTTATAAATTAATTTTATTTATTGTTAAGCCTCATCCATGGATATTTTTCCATTGATTTTCAGGGAGAGTGGAGAGAGAGAGACGTCTATGTGAGAGAAACATACAGATTGGTTGCCTCCTGCACGAACCCTGATCAGGGCCCAGGCCAGGGAGGAGCCTGCAACCAAGGTATGTGCCCTTTAACTGGAATTGAACCCAGGACCCTTCGGTTGGCATGCCAACACTGCCCACTGAGCCAGACCAGCTAGAGCTGGCTAGTTTTATTTCACTCCAATATCCCCCACATATGGTAAGGATTTCACATTTCCCAAAGTGGTGTCACTTCCTTTCCCTTAAATTGTGTGTTTCAATTCCCAAAAGATTGGGATTTAGTTATTTACTAGAGGCCTGGTGCATGAATTTGTGCACGGGTGGGGTCCCTCAGCCTGGCCAGCAATCGGGGCTGATAGGGGCGGAGTAAGGGGAGATGGACAGCTGGCTGTGGGGAGGGACTGCGGGAGGTTGGCCAGCCTTGGGAGGTTGGCTGTGGGAGCACACTGACCACCAGAGGTCAGCATTGAACATCTGCCCCCTGGTGGTCAGTGTGCGTCATACTAACCGGTCAACCAGTCGTTCGGTCGCTTAGGCTTTTGTATCTATAGATTCTGTTTTAAGGAATGGTGTCTTCACTTCTTTCACGCGGTGCCTGTTTGGGGCCAGTAGCTGGTTCAGGGGTCTGGTGCAGGGATGGCATCCCACTGCCTCCTGGCTTCTGCCACTGACACTCTGCCTGGAAGGTCAGCGGCCTCTCTCGCCCCTTTTCTGGCGTCAGCAGTCCCGGCCTTCTCGGCTTCCTAGTCTCTAGGGGCCTAGATTACAAGGGTTTCTCTATGGGGGATGCTGCTGCATGCCTCCACTCCCCCCTCCAGGACCAGTTAGGGGCTCAGCTGGGGGAGGCAAAGGTCAGGCCCTAAGGGGTGACCCCTGTATTCCCGGGTCACCTGAGCCAGGGCTCCCACT